TATAACAAAGAGTGAAAAATTTAAGGGGGTCTGAATACTTTCCGTACCCACTGTATATAGAAATCTGCCATCTCCTTTTGATAATGAGAAATGGCTGCTAATTTCTCTTAGCTTATTGTAAGCATACTTCTTATATAGTAAAACACTTGTCAACTTTTGCTATAATAATTGATCAGCAGTCCAGCAGTGAAACACTTATTGTACCATGTAAACATACTGAAAAAGAAAGAGAGAGGATGGAGGAGGAGGGAGAAGAAACCAGCACAGATTCTACGTTCTAGTAAATGTTATTGTGTGACTGAAGTAAACTGGAGCTCTGTGTATCAATGCAATGATCAGGTTGGTCTACTCTTCAAAAGTTATTCACTGTTGCATCATATGAAGTAAAAAGAACGGCAAGTAAGTTGCATAAAGCACCACACCTGTAGCTGCCTATGTTAAGGCTGGTCTGTCCATTTTGAATTTAATGAATACAACATTATATTTGATGCTGTTGTCAGTCCCAGTGATGTTTGTTTCATCTAGGTTTATGAGGTGGTGAGAAACTTAACCTCATCCTTAGCAATTTCATTACTGCTGTGATGTAGCCTGCTTTTAATGAAATAAACACATTTCATATAGTCTTTATTTATAATTTTGGTGTTTGTTCAGTATCGGTAGTTTATACATGTAGATGTGTGGCAATTCATTTTTGTACAGTAAATCTGGGTCCTGGAGAGAGACCACATTTCTCTTTTTGGTCTTGAACTGAAAAAGTCTGGGAACCTGGGCTTTATACCAAAACAGTATGAAAAAACAGAGTCCAGCTTTTAGTTTCAGACATGCACTTCAAAGTGCACTGGACCTTTCGTGGCTTTTTTCTGTCATGGATGCATATATTCCCAAAGGATTTTAATGTCTCTTTCCTTGGGCACTAACAATCCCAGACACAGCAGTGACTGTGCTGCTGATGGCAAATCCTTAAAGATATGATATACAGTATTGTACAGATACGTTTCTGGCCCATTTTAATGGTCGGCTCAGCTTAGAATTTTAAATACCATGACCTAAATTTTCTGGTTATAATTTTTATGTGGTTTCTCACCTATTTCTGGCTGAGCAGAGTGAGTGTGCGCACACAATGGAACTGTGTCTGTGCCTGAGTGTGGGAGGTTGTCTGTGACTGAGCACTCTCTCTTCCTCTACCTTCCCCTCATTCTGTCGAGACAGTGCTTGGCTTTTGGCCCTGCAGGTAAAGCCAGGGTCCACTGAAGCATCACAACAAATCAACAAAAGCCTGGGCAAGAAACTTCACACCAGACAAGACAATGTGCCTTTTTTAGATCTTTGCTTCTTACACTGAACCCAGTCCTCAAATATGAAGGTGCTTGCTTGCACTGGAAGGGCCACTGACTTGTATTTATTCCAGATGATTCAAGTTCCACTCCAAATACCCAGCTGAGGTAAATTGGGACAAATCAGAAAAGAAAAGAAAGAAAATAAGCTATTTGAGAAGATCTGACAGTTTTCAAAACACATTCTTGGAAACTCACTTCACAGCACAACACAAGGTGCAGCATTAATTAGTTCACTCTAATGAAATGGAGAATGGTATCTAAGGGAGAATGCAGAAACAGAAGGAGGCCAGAAAAAGCACACGTCAAATCAAGGTGTATTAAAGCCTTCTCTACTTCCTGACTTTCCTTTCCACTCATTTTAATAAGAAGCCTTAGTCGCTAACAACACTCCACATTAAGATGCTATGCTGAGTGTGCTCGCCTGTGCAGGCCCTCTAATAGGTGTCTGACTAATTGGCTGGTGGACGGACTGATCATTAACAGGCATGAGATGAAGGGCCCAGGAGAGCAGATGTTCATCCTCACTCTCCTTGTGTTGCCATGTCACCGTGACAAACACACATCAGTTATAGCCGAAGCTGTGCACTCTAATGATGGACACACTTAACTACCTGAAAAACATAAGATCGGTATGTACCCAGATTATATAGTGTATGCACAAAATATATCTTTGATTTCAAAAGAAGCCACTTCAAGTCAGATGTGTTAAAATGGGATCTTTGCTACAGCCCTGACCCTAATCAAACCAAAATATTGTTTTTCAGTAGAGAGATTTTTAATATCTTGTGACAAAGATGAGTTGCTTTCGAATGATACACTCTGTGATTTATTGTAATGTCTAATAGCACCCCATATCTCAAAATACCCCACCAGCTCACTACTGATTACATCAGTTTCTTCAGAAACTCCATCCACCTGACTGCAACCTATTATTATTATGCGGTATTAGATATAATGTTATGTATATGCACACAAGTCACAAAAACATTTCCATGTTTACATAAAATAAGTTGGTCAAGTCCTAATATGTTCCTCACGTTTGGAATTGGTCTACTGTTAATAAATAAATAATGTACATCTGACAGTTTTTGAAAAAAATTTGGGTATCACAATAACTGCAAATATTTTCATTTGCAGTTATTGTAACTGTAATAATGGTACTGTAATGATGGTACAGTATATGGTTTCTTGCCATACAGTGCTTTGGCTGCTAGTAAACTAAATAATTCAGGGGAAGCATTTAGCAGCAGTGTTTAAAGTGGATAGTGTATAGCGTGGTTGACATTTTGCACAGCTCTGGAAAAAATGTGATGAAATATGGTGCGACTCTTAGGCACTAAATATCCAAGCAGTGTGCTGAAAATCCTTAGAAAAGGAAAAGTATGACAGAGAGAGTTAGCAATATGCATCCCTCTGCAAGCTCACAAACAAAGAACAGTTCTAATTTAAACTGTCTCAGGTTTTACGTTAGATCAAAGTTTGTGTGAGACAGCAAGTGAAAGATGGACTGAAGTGATACCTTGATTCCTCCACACTCTGCTGCTGATCCCTGGTCCACTCCAGTGATGTAAATCCCCAAAGCATATTCTTCTCCACCTCGGATCATCAAACCCAGGGAATGGCCGTCATCCAAAACCAGGTTGACCTATTAAAGACAGAGAGAGAAACGCATAAAGAAAGAAGGGGTTACATATTTGAAATAGTATGAGCCAGACATTTCCTCACATTTCCTCAATATCAACATTTTGAAGAATCATTTGTGCTGCTTGACAGGCTGCCAGATTTGCCTGTGGTGTTGAGCACATAGAGCACATGGCCCATGGTGAAACACAATACACAGAGGAAATGACAGACCTGCTCTGAGCTGGGCTGTGCCAGCAGAAAATAAAGAGTTTCAGGAGCTACTTAGATGTTGTGACTCAAAGCCAGTAATGAGGAAGCTAAATCTGTTCTGAACAGAGGAATGAATGTTTGAGCTGGTCAATCAGTGTTTACAAGGCTCATCCATGTCACTACCCCCGATAAGCAAAGCGGACAATATGTGACACTGTCTGAATTCAAATAATCTACCAACTGGAGGTAGTGGAGATCTCTGCAGCAACAACGCTGTGAAATCTACTGCTGCAGGAAGATGATGATACCTACACCATATACATAACTGTGGCTAAATAATCAATCCTGTTTCTGCTGTTTGTCTTGTACTGTTTTTAGTCAGTCATGTCAGACTTCTTGGTTCTAAGTGCAAAGCTCTCTTCAAAGCAAATAATTCCATACTAAATTAACATACTATTAAATGTTATAGGCAGTTCTGGTCATCTCAACAAGACTCAGTAATGAGGAAGAAGTCATTCGCTGATAATCAATCTATTAGATACTGCTGTTCTGTGTGAATCAGACATGCAGTAATTTTAAAAAATAAACTGTTATGCATTTCACATTAGAGTAGACCTGATAAATCTGAGAAGACCTATACTAAAAGCGTCACTGAACAATTCTTCTCAGACTTTTGGGGTCATCCAGACCCATTATTGCTCAGCACACAGTCATCTCCCTCTAAACCTGTATCCTGACATTGCCATTATTTAGAGCTGGAACTGTGTCTTTGTGTTACTTGTATTTATATTTCATTTGCTGTGATCATGCCAGTATTATCAAAAGGTAAATATACAAAACAAATATATATATAAGATGACTTACATGTGCATGGACATTGGAGCCTTGATGTAAGACAGCCTTTAAAGACTTCCGCCTATTTGTATTCTGCTCCTGAGGCTGTGGAGTTTAAGCAAGGGTTCATTTATCTTATAAAACCTCTTTATTCGAAGCCACTGGCAGTGACTCTGGCAGGTATAATCTGCTCGTCTTTATTTAGTGCCTCTGTGTCATATCATCAAGGCTGACCCTTAACTCTGCAGCGTTTTAGGTTGGCCCTGGATCCTTAAGCTCCCTTAATTCATCAATCTCTTCATGTCAGAGCGATCTGTGATCCTGGCAAGCAAGACGACATTCTGATGATCTACAAGTCTTTACTTGCTATTGTTTACTTTACTCTATCATATTTCAAGTTTTTTTTCCTATTTTCCAGCACTTGGAGCACTAAAGACTAGTTCTCAATGATACGAAAAAGGTGGTCATTCCTATCCAACCTTAATATCAGGACAAAAATGATATATTACCCAGGCTTCATTTTAAAAACTTCACTAACAGCTACTTGGATGAACTGAACTGAGCGTTTCCAATTTGGGAAGCAAAGAGGCCGCGTTAATGTTTAGTGTCCGCTGGGAGAGGTTGAGCAGTAGATCAGCTGTGCCAAACTTTAAACTGTAATTTTATTCCATCACAGTGAAACCCTTCAATATTTGGTTTGATTCTGTTATGGCCGTTTTTTGCCAAGACAGAAAAGGGGAATCAGTTGCACTCTGGCCAATGCAAGATGACACATATGCAAATATCTTAATTAAACAATCTCAGTTTCATCCCTGTCATTTTGCCTCTGGTGTAGGTTTGGCAAAAGAAATCTTGCATTCAGTCCATATGATGACACAGTCTTTCACTTTTAATGGCTGTCTGCTTATTGGAGGTAAGCCAGCTACCTGTGCTCAGTGGGAATAAGGAGGTATTCCTCTTCTCTGTGACACTTATGCTGGGCATGGAGACTAGTTTTAATTACCAGTCGCATCCTTCTTTTATTGGCAGCACATAGGAGCTCTTGAGGGTCATAGTGTTCCTTGCCATCAGCTGTTATCATAGACCCATTTCAATATGATCATCCCCTCTGAAAGGTGTTTTTCTGTTACTGTTCTGCAAGTGGAATCAGAGGTGGCATTCATAGAGATTTTGTTTGAGATGGACAAGTGCATTTTATCACAGGAGGAATTCTTGAACTGTACTGTACATTATGAATTAACCTGAGATACCTCCCCTCGCTAACAACATGATAGTCAGTAGTAACATCTTTGATTTATGGTGACACTTGCTGCATGATGAAGATACAACTGTGGTAGCTAAGAGAAGCATACATTTAGCGTCACCCTGTTACTAACTGACCTGACTTTGAATACTTTTATTAGTGAAGTGAAGCACCTCATAAAACAGTGTTGTAACTTCATCTCAAACAAACAAATTCTCAAACTAATTTGTGTTTAGCAGCATGCTGTTCTGTCATTGTCAGACCAGTTCCACATCATCTACAGTATGGGAAAGCAATAGCTGCAGCAGTTTTGGCCATCAAGCGCGATGCATCAAAGACACTGTGGAGTATGTTTATTGCAGAGCACAGATTTTTAATTGCCCCTAAACTACAGAGCTGGTGGCAAATCCAGCTAGAAGTGGACTGAAAATGATCAGAGAGACAGATTTTCTCTCAAGGTCAATGGGGACCAACTAAACATTTCAGGTAATTACACATCTCAAGCCCATCACATGCAGACACATACTGAACAAGCTGTTTTTATGACACATTTCATGTTTATTCAAAGTACCTAAGTTAATATTTGTTTCTTTTTAAAAAGAAGCAAAAGGCTACAACAGCAAAACTACAGGATTAATATTTTCAAAATGTTATCTGTTGCCATGAACTACATCTTATACTAATGGATCTGAAGAAGTTAAAATTATTGTGTGGCCGTTCTGATAGCTCCTTCCCTTCAAGTCACTGGGTGCTGACAGGGTGGAGCTTTGTGGGTCTGATGATAACAAGACTCGGCGACTCTCCAAGCTGCTTAACAGCCATTAAAACTACTGTAGGTGTTGCAGATATAACTGAGACATTACTCTGCAAATGGATATCCTGTTTGCCATCTCAAATATACCGAAAATGACTTAGCTGGATAGTTTTGAGAAATCTGATGTTTTCAACCTCAATGTTTTCCCAAAAAACAAGACCATGTCTGATCACAATGACTGAAGAAAATGTGGTGAGAGCTTTGCTTTTGATTCAAGTTCATATAATAAAGGATCAAGTCATATACAAACACGTGCTCCTGGAGCGCGAGTTACATGATATAGCAGAATAGAGTGGAGATCAAATCCCACAGATACAGCACAACAACAAGGAGAAGAGTAAAAAAAATGTCCTTAACTAGCCTGAATCTATATAGACGACTTAAAATCAATGCTTCTGTCGTATGGTCCATTATGTAGCAGAAGTGACACCTTTTAGAGGAAGTTGGGTATAATTTTATTTGTGATGTTTTGGATGAAACACTTTTACATTCTGTTATGTAGAGTACTTTAGTTCAGTTTAATTTAGCTCATCTTTTTGTATTTGTCATGAAAATTTGATATTTTTTTAGCATCAACTTCCAAAGTTTTAAAAACAATTTAAAAAATTTAGCATAATGGATGTAAGTGTGTACAAAAGTTCTGAATGAATTATGTCACAGAAGCATATGAAAGATTAAAATTATAAATCATTGTACACAGTTCCAGGGACACTATTCAAAATATGAATGTCTTACTTTTTCCCTGAATATTACCCCTTTGAAAGCACGCCTAAGATTTGTGTAAAAAAACATACATATTGTAAATACTGCTCCATTATTCCAGCATGACGATGTTTTTCCCCATGTACCATCTCACCTTCTTCTCATCTCCCTCCTGCAGTAGCTGCATGTTGCTGCGTCGCTGGCTGTCAGTTCTTCTCAGGGTAGCGCTCCGATGGTCAGGCAGGTCAGGAGGAGGGGACACGCTACGACCCTGAGGGTCAACCCAGGTATAAACATGGTTCGTGACATAGCCGCCGGGAATTCGCCCAACTGAACGCACTGACAGACAAAGCTTTTTACTGCCCTTCAGCACCTGAGGAGAAAAGAGTAGAGCAAATTCAGGCGACATTAAAAACACAACTCAAATATTTATACACTATTTCTCAGAAGAACATACTGTACATGAGTGCAGGTTTAAAGAGCAAACAGCACAGTACATGTAAATCCACACATGAATCAACTTAATTTAATTTAGACACCAAGACATACTGCTACATACACATACAGTACATGTGCATGAATATGAAACTGTGAAAAACCACTAAAATGAATTGAGATGGATTTTTGGGAGAAAATGAAAGATTTTGCACTCTCTTCCCCATTCACAAATCCCCTAATGGTCCAACACTCACACAACAAAAACAAAAAAACATTTTTACTGAAAACTGCTATTCGCTGTGCCTCACTGACTTCTGATAGTTTCCTATACTGTATGTACAATCCCCCTGCAGATATTTGTATTCCCATGTGCCCAGTGTTCTGGAAAAATCAAACTGAAGCTCTTAAAGATCAAACAGTCCTTGCACAACACCAACACAAACAGGATTTCTTCCTTCATTACTAAAAATCTGTGTGCTCACTTCATTAAAGTCAAACTTCAGCATTTCCGTTTAAGATTTTTGAGCTACTCTAAAGGTTTCATATATTTTGGTATCAGCAGCGATTAGAACCAAAAGCACATCATCATCTGCAAACAGATGAGACGTCAGCCCAACGTCACCAAATTCAACACTCCTCTGAGCTCAGCTGTGCTCAGTGTGACAAAGCAAACAAAAGGGGTGATTAGGAGCACCCTAAGCGGACTACAATGCCAACTTCAAATATCATTACATGTATGCCAGATTCGAAAACACAGCTCTCACAGTTCTGTTAGCAGAGAACATGTAAGGCTTAAAACAGCCCCCCCTTGAAATTTTGTCTTTCTGCTGGGTCAAATCAATTTTAAAATGGACTGTAGGTAATCTGTTGTTTTTTGGCATCCTAAAAAGCAGACTGCACCAACTGGATCAAGATAGAATGCTCAACAGACACGTCATCTTTTACTGTCCACCAGGATCTGGGTTCTTTCTTCCCTTGATATTTAATAAATTTAGTGCTTAGTACTACTGAATGTTGCCATTGAGAGTCTATTTTTCTCTGAAGTGTTGCAGATGCATTGTTTAACGGTTTGTATTTATACTGTGTAATGCTGTTTCATATACTCACAATCATAACAAAGTCCCCATTTTCTACCTTTTTTAAGTCATGGTGTCATTTCAGTCTGTAATCTATTACTTTCCTTTTTGGTTATGTTTTCAATTAAAATAGCAGTATCAAAAAAAAAAAAAGAAATCATATAGGCCACATTATGCTATCTCCATTTCTCCATTAATCCTTCCTGCTGGCCATTCCTGGTAGGCTAGTGGTTAAGGCGCAGCACTCTCGCTGCTGCGGCCCAGGTTTGAATCAGGGTTGTATCAGGAAGGGCATCTGGCATAAAACACATGCCAAATGTCAACATGCGAGTTGTCAGTGTGACGATTCGCTGTGGCGACCCCTAAACAGGAAAAGCCGAAAGTGACTTTCTTTCTTGACTCTTCTGTGTCCCATCAGGAATTCAAGTAAATGTTACCAAACACAAGGTCACTCCATTCCCTCCTTTAGTAAGCCATAAATAAAAATAACCCTCCCATCAATCTCCCTTCATTTGCCTTTTTCCTTCAATACTTGCACAGAACAATGAAATGCTTTGGCTAAAATGCCTATTAACATCTGCTCCAGGCAGCAACTCAAATTATTGTTTGTGCTGTGAATTGCAA